TTTAATGTTTGCTTTAGCTTGGTAACTTATGCACAAGTTCTCACACAATGATGATGCTTCCCTTTAGCTCTTAAGCTCCCTTGTCAAAAAGTGTGTCTTTTTAACTTAATACTATTTTCTGTCATTTCAAATCTCACACCTGAAAATTTTTTTCATGGTTGCAAATTCTCTTCCATCTCTTCTCCTTTCTTGCATATGTTTCTTAATAATTTTCTTGTCACTTCTAAGCAGCTTATGCAGTAGCTTTACTCTTCCCTAAGATTTTTGAATTATTAGATTTGTTTTCCTGGAAATCCACCTCAAACTATACTTTGCAAGCACATTTTCTTGGTGCACATTTTTTCTTGAAACATGTATCTATACAATCATTTTGAGCCCAAGTTACCATAATTGTGATCTTACTGTGTTGCAATCATGTCTTTTTCCTGTGTACTTTTATTTTTATATTTTTTCCTTTAAAACAATGTGACAATTTCTGTCATAAACTAGAGTGGGAGCAGTAACTCTCCAGGCTTGAGTTTGCTTCCTCTCTTCTTCTGGCCCCTCTTTTATTTTAGGAATGATTATGAGGCAAGAGTATAAGAAAAACAGAGTAGAATACATGCCTGAAATAACACAATGAAAAATTATTTTGTATGCTACCAGAATAATTAATAAAAAATATTAATAGAAACCATTAATCCAAAGACTAAGGCTTGCAGTTTGATTAGCATCTTGTTGTTTGTTAGGAGAATATTACTTGTTGCTTTGTTTCAGAAGGAAGTGGGAAATTATATTTAGTGATTGCAAGAGTTAAGTTGAAAGCTAGTAAACTGATAAAGAGAAAAACAAAAATATTCAGTGAGAAGACAATGTGTCCTAAAAGGTTCATGCAGTAAAACAGGAGTAATGATTGGAATTCAGAAGGCCTTGGAATGACTCTGGCATTTATTTTTATTTCTGTGGTATCATTGCATGTATCATCTGCTTCTGTAAATCTCAGTTTCCTCACAGAGAATGGAAACGTGTACATTTCAAAGAGCTGTCATGGGACTGGAGAGATGACTCAGTGGTTAAGAGCACTGGTTCTTCTTGAAGAGGACCTGAGTTGGGTTCCCAGCACCCACATGGTGGCTTAACAACCCTCTGTAACTCTAGTTCCAGGGGACCTGATGCCCTCTTCTGGCCTTCATGAGCATTGCTTGACACCAGTACACTTACATATATGTGGGCAAAGCATTCAAGTCATATACATAAAAGGAAAATAAAATTTTTTTCTTCAAAAAAAGCTGTTATGTCAAAAAATCTGATGGGATAATTGATATGAAAGTGACTAATCTTATTTTATAATATTGTCCTCTATTTTTAGTTGTTTCTTGTTGCACTTGTACTGAAATTCTGATCTTAAGTGAATGCTTAATCCGGAGCAGGAAGCAGGAAGCTTGTGCAGCACAAGTATTGAGTGGAGTCCATGGTCCTGCAGATCTGTGTTTGTTTTTCAGCTGCTCTACTTTCTGGTGGGATGATCTTAGGCAAGGTATTTAACTTCAAATTGGCAATAATAATGGTATGAGATATCATATGAAGTACTTAGCACAGCAACTGGCACATATTCACTGTCTTCAGCCAATATTAGTGATCATAAAACAACCGCAGTCCCAATTGCTGCTACTCAACAGATCCATTAGCAAGCATTATGATGTCGGTTAGAAATGGAGTTGTCATAGCTGTTTTCCCTCCTTTGTATATCTGTATCGCATAACGTCTAGGCACCATTTGTATATGCTACATAATTCTATTCTATGAAGTTGACATATTTTGTCTAAAGAAATGAAAATATCCATATACTTTTTGTTAAATTTTCTTCTTTTGGCATAAATGTGGGTATTCGTAAAGCAGATATGTTAATATCAGTGATTGTTGCTAAATCAGTTGTTGCTAAATCAGATTTAAAAGGGTATCTTGTTTTTCTTGAATAAGCAATGGACTTCATAATAGCAATCTTGATGACATAATGTGTAAGTCATTTATTCTATCCAGCTCATGGTGTTATGCCTATGTTTTAGCTTGACTCCAAATTTTTGATCTTCAACATTTCTATAACCCTTGGCTTCTTCTATTTGTCTCCCCATGCCAGAGAAAATAGAAGCAGAAAATTTATGCAGAAAAATAACTGTGAAATACTCTTTAATACTTCACTTAAAATACACAATGATGAGATAAATTATTCAGATTTCATAATACATATAATATATTTGAGTTTAGTTGAGTGGCAAAGGGAAAACTAGCATGAAAAAATGATTCAATTAGGTATGGATTGCTTTTAATTAATTATTTATCTATTTTGAGACAGTATGGTAGTTTAGGCTAGCCTAATACTTGATATATAGCCCATGCTGATCTCAATTTCATCCCACCCTCCTTAGCTATGGTATTACAAGTGTGCACCACTAAGTACATCTTTGGGTTCTTTTTTAAAAAGCTGGGTTAGTGGGCTGGCAATATGGCTCAGTGGTTAAGAGAACTGACTGCTCTTGAAAAGGATGTGGGTTTGATTCCCAGGACACACATAGAGGATAACAACTGTCAGTAACTCCACTTCCAGGGGATCTGATGCCTTCTTGTGACCTCCATGAGCAATGCATGACATGGGTGCACTTATACACATGCAGGCAATACACTCATACACATATAATAAAAATAATAAATAAAATATTTTAAAAATTTGAATTAGTAACCCAAGCATGGTGGCACACACCTTTAATCCCAGCACTTCAAAGACAAAAAAAACCCCTACCAACCCCCCCAAAACAAACAACCAACCAACCAAACAAACAAACAAACAAAGTTAAAGTTAAATCAGTAATGTTTTCCAATTCAGAAAACCAAAGTTTTCTTTTTTCTTTTGAGACAGGGTCAGCTGGCCTGGAACTCATTATGTAGATCAGGCTGACCTCAGTCTGATCTCTGTGTGAGATCTGCCTGCTTCTGCCGCCTGAGTGTTGGGATTACTGGTATGTGCCACCATGCCAAGCCCCTAACACTGAGTTCTTAAGTACACTTTTAAAACAGGGACACATATATCAATAACTAGTCAAAGATAATATCTGAATTGCTGATGTTTATATATACATATATATATCTTTCCTCAATTCTTGAAATCTTTCAATTTATTTAATATTCAATTACAATTTGCTTATGTTATTAATTTGTTTGGTATATTCACTTTGCCAGAGGCAAAAGTTTTGGCTCTTTGCCCAAAATGAGTATTCTCTTTTTCAAGTTCAGAGATGTCATGGAGAAGTATCTGCCTGGTTTCCCAGTGGAATCCTTCCCAGACCTGCCTGTAGTTATGTGCACCAATGTGACTGAGTCGTCATAGTGGGAGAGTAAGGAAAGAAGGAAATCCTCTTCTAAGCTTGCCCCATAAAACTTTTTCCACCATCTGCTCCTCCTTCCCTTTTCTGGTTGCCTTGATTGGAGAAGATCCTGGGAGGGTCGTAAAACCCCAGGAGATAGATTCTGCAGTGACTGTGTATGGATGATCCCCTGCCAACTCACAGTAGATACACCTACATTGGTTATTAAAAGAATAAAATTAAAATTTTCACATGAAGCAGAGAAGTAATATTAGTATTTATTGTCTTCAACTTCATTTGGACACCATAGTGGTATCTGGAAAGGCTTAGATCTCTTCACAGTCAACACTGTTAATTCTCCATGGAGACAAGTAAGTTTTATTAATTAAAACCATTTTTTATTACAAGAGTTAGAAAATCAACTGGAACAGGTTAAGCAATACGGGGAATTTATTAAAAAATTTTTGGAGATATCTCACAGACTGGGAATAGGGCCAGTCCTCAGTAATAGCTGGAAACAGGGAATTCAATTCCACGTTTCTCTATCTTGTGTTTACCATTTTCTTTGGGACTGTATTTAAGCACTTTTTCTGTGTAGACTGCATCTCTGTGTTTCATTTGACATTTTTTTCAATGGAAAGATGAAGTTCCTGACACTCAGGTTTCCACACAGATCTGAAAATTCCAAGAAATACCCTGAGTTCTTGGACTTCACAGTGCTCTATTCTGGGCTGAGTATCTGTGACTAGGTGGTGTATATGTGACCAAGTTGTACAGTACCAGCAGGAGCAGTTCGTGCCAAGCAGAGTGGAAAGAACTTCCTGGAACTAGGATGGTGAAGGACAGATACGGTCATAGATAATGGATGCATAACTTTTTTTGTTTCACTAAATTATGCCCTGACAAACCTCCTATTCCTCTTAGAAAATGACATTACCCCCATTACATGAAAAGAAAGTGACTATGCACCTAAAATTGTCTATTGTGTTTTACTCCCCATCTCATTTCACACCACACACACACACACACACACACACACACACACATACACACACACACACACACACACCTCAAATCACACACACACAGAGGTCAGAAGACAATTTGTAGGAATCAATTCTCTTCTGCCACCATATGAGTTCCTGGGATTGAGCTCAAGTTGTCAGGCTCGGCAGCATGTTCCCATCAAGCCATCTTTCCAATACACACACATGCACGCACGCCTCTGGACCTTGGAGTGGTTGATAGAGAGGTCCCATTTAGAGCTGAACACTCAGCAGTTCCTTATTATCAGCACTTTGGCAGGAGATGGATCTCTGATTTAACTATTGCCCCTTGCCAGACGAGGCTTCCGTGACAAGGATAACAGCTGACCAGACTTTTGGTATAAACACAAATATTTGGAAGGCGTTTAGATTATATGTCCATTTAGCAAAACCTCAGTAGTACATTCCCCTATAAGGCCTGTGACCTCCCTAGCCATAGACTTTTGAACAGGTTTCCAGTACCAGGCATGTATTCAAGCCTTTATATGTTTTTATTCAACCCACCTACAATTGCCAGACAGACCTTAATCAGTATTTTTTTTCTGTGACCTCTCTTTGGAAGATGTCCTCTTGGGTTCCTTATTCTAGTCAATAAGGTAAAAAATGTTTATTTTTTGTGCTCATATTAGCAGCACCTATGGTAAAGTTGGGAGAGTGCAGAGAGGTTAGCATAACCCCTGTACAAGGCTGATACACAGATTTGTGAAGTAGTTGATGTTTTTGAGGATTCTAGAAAAGATGATACAATATTTGAAGACTGTTAGGGACTGGGAAAGTGGTCAGAGGGAGGGGAAGGATGAGGGGGCAGTGGGGATGAATACGGTCAGAGAACATTATTTGCACATGTGAAAATGCTGCAGTGAAGCCAGTTATTTTTGCACAATTAACATACACTAATAAAACTCTTCTATTAGGATGGGGAGATGGAGAAATTGGTGTGTGGTTATACCCTTACATAAAAGAGTAATATGAAGGATCTTTGTGGTGGGCTGCTGATATACTCAGGGGTATAGCACATGCTTAGCATGTGTGAGCCCTCAGGTTCAGTTCCCAGTTACTCCCCCCAAACATCTTTGTAGTAAATATTTTTATGTATATATGTATATGTATATATAAACATTGCTAGATATTTGATTAGTATTTAGGGACTCTAATCCACTATGCTACAACCTAGTTGCCAAGATTCAACTATTAATCCTCTTGTTTAAGTGTGAAGTATACATTAACTAGTTTCATTTATTCCTGTACCACACCTTGAGTTTTCTCATTTCATGCTTTTCTTATTTTATTTTATTTTTTTGCTAATACCTGTTATATTTTTACATTTTGAAATGCCGTTAATTCTTTCAAGGTGCATATAAATAACTGTTTTCTTGAAAATTTGCTGAAGCCTTTTCTAAAGTCAAATGTACTCTGTAGCCTGCCTCTTATGATCACTGGGGTACTTGTACTTATCTGCCCACAATCTAAAATTTCAACACATACATCATTTACAGTCCCCGTTGCTTTAAAAAAATTAGGCTTTAATTTAAAAGTGATTCACATTGACTCTATGCCACCTGATTGAAGATAACTTCAAGTTTTCTATAATCAAATATAGTATTAGCCTCAAATAGCACTTTGATGAAAATAACAAGTGGGATTTATTTGAGAAAAACTCACATACACACACTTTTTGACTCCAGCTGTAACAATAGTCTTACCATAGAGCTCTTTCTCCATCAGGTGGGCTCCTCATTTTAGCATCAGTTTTTTTCTGTTCCTTTAGCCTTTCTACAGGTGCAAACAGTAGTGCACCCCACTCTTCCGACAGCGTTCCTTGAGCATGCTCTTTTCTATGAAGCCTGGCGTGGGCCAACATCACTCATGTACATTCTACTGAATTGCAGGCCGACTTTGTGCCTTTCATTCTTTGCCTTCAGCAGCATCAGCAAGTGTGCTGCTCGCATATCTGGTTTAAGTGACATCAGGTAACTCCAGTACTAGTTGTCCCATTACTTTATTACTTTTTAGGCAATATACAGCAGAAAAAAAGTAGAGAATTATAGAATACCTACCAAACTTTGATCTCTGTCTTCTACATTTGTAGGTATTCTAGCAATTGTCAATATGTTCCTCTGTGAACATAAGACAAAACATTCTGTCTTCTGTTGGGTAGGGAAACGTCAAAGGAAATTTAGTGTGTGATATGAATTATACCAGTACTTTGTGTGGGAAACTACTGAGGGAAACCATTTATAAATAAATTTGTTTGCTCTATTCCTAGTTCCACTAATCTGTGGTTGATGCCTTTACCATGAGATCGTGTCTGTGTCTTGAACTCTAATGGGTTCTCTTACTTTCCCAAGTGTGAAAGAATTAATTCTTCATGCTATTAGTATTAGGAAACTGTTTCAATGGTTGAAATCACCAAATTGGCCTGCATGCTAGTTAAGACAAATATTCTTTTTTAACTGAATTAACTTCTGTAGGACTGGGGCTATCAGAATGGTCTTTTGGAGTAATCTTACATTTTCACTAATTTTATATTATTGACATTTCACTCCTGAAAATGTTATTGTTATTTTAAACAGTAATATTATTTATTGGATAAAAGCAAAATAATAGCCTAAAGCATTAAATATAGAATTGTCTCCTTAATCAAACTTAATTCTAATGGATTATAGGAAATAAGTTATTAATATATATTTTAAAATGTAATTCCTCTGAATTAGTATTTTGGTAATCAGGCTTACGTCAGAGAGACAGTCACTGGGGGTGACAAGGACTAGGCCTCTGTCATAGGGCTTAACTTCACACATTTATGGAAATGGTTAGTCATTTCAATTTGATTTTTCTGCACTAAATTCTGGGCCTGAAGTCAAAAGGGCAAGAATTGAGAAAGAGGTGAACTGGGAGAATGGAAAGGACAAATTATAGCACATGAAACACAAGTTAGAAGCCAGGTAGATCTCTTGCCACCTCCAGACTTCAGCATCAGAGCTGCTGGTGACATAAATGAGAAGCTGGGACAAGCAAGCTCCCTTGCTGCTGCAAAAGCAGGGTACATTGGCCCAGGATTCAGAGAAGCTACGGGAGGATGCAGTGGTAGCCAATCCTGCAGGTGGCTGCTGCTCCATTTTGGCTGAGCCAGCCTAATAGAAAGAACATGCCTCGGTTACAATGGTGCCTGGCGCCTTGAACTGATGTCCGCAGTGTAAAAGGATATGGGTGCTGCTTGGCTTCCACCTATCACATTTCACCTAGAGCATACCTCTTGTGGCTCACAGGAATTTGGAATTATACAGGGAAGAAGATCTTGGGAGTCTTTATTTCCAAAGTAGATGAGCCAACACTCTAAATCACTTTGTAAGTATTAAAGCAAAACAAAACAACAACAAAGCCAACAGTCTCCTTTCCTTCCTGGAACAAAGACTGAAATAGTTTCTTTTCCATATAATGTTTTCATCAAATTCTCAACAGAGCTTCAGTGCCTGCATCAGATAACATCTCAGGAAGTCTGGTCCAGGTCACCCTTCCTCCAGACACACTGGATATGATCTTAATTGCCAAGGATATTAAGAGTAGATAATAAGATAATGAGGGAAGCAACAGCCATATGATGTGGTAATTGTCAGTCTGGGGCCTGGAAGCTTTAAGAAAGATATTGAGTAATAGGACTTGGAAGCTTACATGTTTAACTTCTTTATCCATGGTGATCTGATGGGTGTATTTATTATGATAATAAAGTGCATGTTCAAATTCAAACCCACCTGAGAAGACTGGAAAGCTATTTAAGTTTTCATTGTAACCTGATAATGAACTAGGGCTGCATACAAACCATTTGTGCAAAGTGCTCAAAGACAGCCCTGTGTTGAGTATAAAAGAATTATAATTCCTACATACTACCCATGTCTCTGAAAGCAGTTTACTGAGAAAACTTTTATAATAGGCCATTTTGGAGCCATCCATAATTAACTAAACAAAGATTTAAATTATACTGAACTGATTTCAGCAAATTTCCTTAGGGAATAATACTGTTGAATCAGTGTCCTCAGCTGTAAAGGACATAATTCATAATCACACAGGTATAACCTTAGGCTCAGTGCTTTAAATGAAACAATGGGACAGCAGCAAAGAATCTCTGAGAAGTAATAAATGGCAGTCAAACCTTAACTGTGAGCACATAGAGCCATTATGAATATGCTGCCCAATGTTTAGATTTGTTTACACAAACTACCGAGGGATAAAAAGCATGGTATTTTTTTTTACTGTAGCAATATAGTTTCATAAAGTTAAATTTTATAGGTTTATTCACATATATATGATGCCAGGAAGCTGAAGTACTATCCAACTTCTTGTTCACCATGAATCAGTATGGCACCTGACATGTCTGCCTCGCACTGTCTCAGGATTCTCTGACTTGACAAAGTGAAGGTAAGCTTATTCACAGTGTGCAGCCCATGTTGCTAGCTTCTGTTTCTGCAAGACTGGGTTGGGACACGGGTTATTTTTTCTTTTCCTGGTTAGGTGTCTCTGAGAGTTACCTGACAGGAGATGGCAAAATGCACTGTAAATAGTAAAATCCTATGGCAAGGACAGTTACTTTCTGATTTGAGTCTTGGGTTGATAGTGCTTCAAGGGCTACTGACAAATCATTCCTATCAAGGAATCTAAATAAAAGCATGTCTAGTTGACTTATAAAATACTTTCACTTTGTGCCTTAGACTTTGCTTCTCGTGCTTACTGAAAGTAGTACATAATTTGAGTTTTGCTATAATTTGAGATTTTAAAAAACTTAAAAAGCTGGGCCTGGTGGCACATGCCTTTAATGCCTATAATTCCAGCACTCAGGAGGCAGAGACAGGTGGATCTCTGTGAGATGGAGTCAAGCCTGATCTACATAGTGAATTCCAGGCCAGCTGGGGCTACAGGAAGACCCTGTGTCAAAAAAAGACCAAACAAGCAAGCAAAGAAAACTTAAAAACACAATTTCACATTTTCTTTGTGTCATCTTTTAATCACTCATGTTTAACTTAATCTTCATTTTGAGTCCTATGTTTGCCTTTTCCAAAACCAATTTGAAAAATGTATTTAGGGCTGGTGAGAGGACTCAGTGGATAAAGGTGTTTGCCATCAAGTTAGAGGACCTGAGTTCAATTCCCAAAACCTTCATAAAGGTAGAAGGAATGAATTGACTTTTGTACATTGCCCTCTGACCTCCACGCTCACACTGTGGCACCCCCCTACATAAATAAAATGCAAAACAAAATTGTATTTGTTTGTAGGCTTGCCTTTGCATATGTATAAACATTTTTCCTTTCTACTTAAGCTTACATTTTTTATTAGGTACCTAATGTCCTATTTATTCTCTGGTCTATCAGTAGACTTCTACCAGTAATACCTTTCCTGTCTAGCTTGGACCATTATGCTGTTTGATTTTTAAACATTCTTGCTCAACTCAAATTCTGAGTTATTACAAGTATGGTATTTCTTTTTTCCTGCTCTAGAGTTATGTCGATTGCTATTAAAAAACAAGTGTCCACAAATGCCCTTCAGTGTGGGTTCATCCACTGGAGCCTGGTCAACCTGTTAAGTGTTCATCCTTAAATGAGACTGAGTACCCCCTTCCCAGAAGTCATTTGTTGCCAGTAGTTTCTCAGATAGGGTTGATGCTTCTGATCAAAATATATTGTGTGAAATTTGCACACAAAAATAAATTTAAAAAATAAGGAGAGAAATC